TCTCAGATGAAAGTGATAAACCAGTCAGACCTTGCTTAGCTTTTCAAGATCAGCCAAGATTGCTGGTACTTGGATCTTGCTGGGTTAGGATTGAGATTTTGGAGTAGAAATCAAAACTTATGTTGTGAGAATTGGATTAAAAACTACCCCATTTAGATTATATGGGGAATACTTTCTGTCTTGTACCAATTCCCAAAAGTCTAACATCCTTCCTTAAAAGTAATTGATGGTGGCCAAGGTCCTATCAGGAAAGGTTGGGATTGGGGTTTTGGAGGATAAATCAAAACACACATGGGGGAGCATCATCTGTCTTGGACCAATAACAGAATTTCCAGAGGTGTAGCATCATTGAATAAAAATCACTGATGATTTAGTTAGAAACCTACTGGGAACAGCCCTGCTGGCCACCTTTGAATGGCTTCACTGGTGGTGGAGAAACAGGACTGTGATGTCCTATTGGAGCTCTAACAGGAACACGGCAGTTTCAACTTGATCATTTCTCAATAACTCCCAGGAATGTCCTGTCCACTTCCCCATGGTCAGCACCTCTAGACAGCCAATATTTTTGCCTTTTATCCATAATAAGCAAGTCAAGATGCTGAGTTATAATCCAGGCAGTTTTACCACCTGGGTCCCTTGGGGTCTTCAGCTTATATCCATCTCAGGCAGGAGTTGCTGTCCAGAAATAAACTACTATCTTCTCTCTTTGCCGTCTATTAGGCTACTGGCTGAACTACAGGGGAGAACTCCATCAGGCAACAACAACTTACCTCAATCACCTTCCTTTAGAAAATCTTCATGCTTCTCCTATTTCCGGCACTGAAGATGAGATTCAATCAACAGGATTGCCCCCACCCAAAATTACATCAGAGGTGAGCCTCACTATTGCTGAAGTCTATTTAAGAGACAAAACAACTTCTCCTTCTCCTTCTCCTTCTCCTTCTCCTTCTCCTCCTCCTCCTCCTCCTCCTCCTCCTCCTCCTCCTCCTCCTCCTCCTCTTCCTCCTCCTCCTCCTTCTTCTTTCACCAGAAATTGGTGATCATGATGCTGGTGATCCTATTTTTATCAACAGCCACACAAAAAAGTGCTGTTGAGTATTGTCCAAACCGGTCCCTTAGATTTTGAAGCCATGATGTTCTTCTTCTGCCTGGACCTCATTTGCCTTCAATCTTTCCCTGGAGGATAAAGTGGAGGATGCTGTATTTTTCTGGGTGTCGCATCGTGTCCGAAATATTCTAACTTTCACTTTTTAATTGTTTTGATGATTTCCCGTGGCTTTCCCAGGCAGCTTATCACCTCCTCATTTCTGATTTTAGACAAAACCTGGGGCTTGGAGAATACCTGAGAGCCAACACCTTCAAGATAGTTGGGGTGGGGAGTTCCTCCTCAAAGTCTTCCCAAGGCAGCCATGGGGCTCCTCTTGGGCTCAGCCCTTCCTTTTGGGGACCCTCTGATCTGGTTGTTCTACAAGGGAAAATCAGTCAAAGCTCAGCTTCCATGGCTCTCCAGCTCCATGGAAGGAGAATGAGACAGGAAAAAGGCTGGGAACAAGAAGTGGGGCACCCTGGGAAAATGGGGGATTTCTGTCCAGGAAGGGAAGGAGGAGAAAGAGATAGTGAGCTGGAAAAACAGGGGGAGACTGTCTAGGGTAAAGGCTTCTTGGTGATGATGAACTGGAGGTATAAAAGAGACAAGAGGAAGGAAACACTGGTCAGAGAAGGGATGACCCCTTCCTAGAAGATCCATCTCTCAGGGAGGACCTGTTTATATGGAAGGGCAGTGTAAAGTTTTTTTTCTTCTTTGGTTGATTCCTTCCACACAGGGTTGCTGGGGGCAGAAGACAGAGCTACGGAAAGGAGAGAGAAGACCTCTGATGGCTTCCAGAGAAGCCTATTCAGACAACAAGGAAGGAGCAGCTGTGGAGATTTCAGAGGGAAGCCAGGAGGAATGTCTGGAAGATGCTGAGGCCACCACGCCAGGAATGTGGGGGGGGCTGGAGGAAGAAGTGAGCCCAGGAACCTTGGAAGGGCCCTCAGAGGAACAAGAGGATGAGCACCTGGCTGGAAAGGGGATTGCAGCTGGAGGGCTCACAGACCCAGCCAGAAGCCCAGGATGGAGAAGGCTTGCAGCTGCAGCTGATCAGGACAGATGAGGAGAACCTGCCTCCTCCACCAGAGGACTGAACAGAAGGAGGCACAATGGAGGTCAGTGAGGCTACTCCATTGCCTCTTTCCTCCCAAGGAGTAGTACTAGCACACCCCTCCTTAGTCCAAGATTTGGACAATGCAGTGTTAGAAACAACCACACCTTTGCCCTGCCATGCAAGGACTGTCACTTTGTGACTGCTGTTTACATTACTTTGGACTTATACTTCATGCTACCTCTGTTTGGCATTTGGACCTGCTTCTCAAATTTTGGATGTGGATGCTGAAGCATGTCTGGATTTTGCACAGGTGTGTGTGTGTGTGTGTGTGTGTGTGTGTGTGTGTGTGTGTGTGTGTGTGTGTGTGTG